ATATGTTCTTTCTACTGAAATACTGGACCTTATATTAATCTACCACTATTTAAAAATAGAACACAAAGGCATCAAGAAGTGACCATTCCTCTAAGATGGGAACTTGAATTACCTTTTTCCAAATGAGTGCATGGAAACTAATGAGCAGTGATTGTTTTGAGGCAGGGGCAATTAATGTACTGATTTGGTCAGTTCTCAAGGATTTCCTGGACTAAGAAAATAAGAGAGACTCACCACAGGGTCTGAGCCATGATGGCTGACGCAGAGCATCTTTAACAGCTAGAGGTTCTTCCAGCTGAGCTGCCGGCACGCTGGGTGGCCCGGGCTGCTCAGATTCTGTGCACTGCACTTTGGCTTTTGGTTTGTTTTCATGTGTAGGTTTGCATGATGTGTAGAGATTTCCTCAAAAAAATAGGCTACCTGCTTCTTTCACTTTTAAATTTTTCTCCACTATTGGCTATGGACACTGGGCTCTTGTTTTCAGGCTGATGCTACCCATTCCTTTACAGACATTTTTATATCAAAAGCAAAGCCCCTAGAGCTTTGCAGCTCCTGAGCTGAAGATAATGGAGTAAGGAAAGTGGCAAAAGAACATTTAAATGTAGAGGCTTCTGCTTTTGGATGAGATGCAGTAGGCACACCCCACCCTGTCTGTCCCACTAAGTGCAGCTAAAAAAGTTGGACAGAATGCACAGAGCAGAAATATGTAGACTACGAAATGTGAGTGGTTGCAAGGGATCAAGGAAGGACAGCAGAATTCAAAGCACCACAAAACCTGTGGTGTGTTCCCAGCCCGGACTCAAGGCAGCCTGGAGCCCATAACTGGGCACAAGGCCACTCAGCTTTGCTCTAGGAATGGGAAAGGGGGCTCCTACTGCTCAGAGAGTAGGCATAAATCCCTGTTTTGTTTTTCTTTTCTTTCTCCTTATTGCCTCAGCCCCCAAAGGAGTCTGTGGTAGCAGGAGGGTGGGGAGAAGGTTGGTACTGGAGAAACTCAGTCAAAACTTTGAGAAAAGGGGTCCCTCTTTCCTGATCAGAGGACCTGCAGCCCCAGAGGGTGGAAAACTGTCATTCCTTTTTCCTCTCGTAGTCTTCCTGCCTCCTGGCCCTGAACATAGGTAGTACATGCCCCACAATGCAGAGTAACTCAAGCCCCAGGTCTTGGTCAGAGGATTGGAAAAAGGAGCCCCAGGAATGTGGAAGGAGCAGGTTTATGTCAGAGAGGGAGGAGTTCGGGACAACAACCCTTGATGGTTGTTCAGGAGCTCCCGGCACCTCCTCAGAGCTGAGCCGCACTTGGCCTCACTGAGCCTGACCAGCCTGCTGGGGACTGTTAGCACCGCATGCTGGGAGCACATCACCTCCATCCCAGGTGGCCACTGGGTGGCGCACATGGAACAGCTGAATAGCACAGAACAGTCAGGTGACCTGATGGGGGAATCACAGCCCACAGAAGGCAGGTGAGCAGGTGAGGTCAACTGAATCAAATGGATCACCACCACATCAGGTATCAACGGATTGCCTTTCAGCAGTAAATGTACACCTTTCAATGTACATACTCTGTGATACCCAGTGGGGTTCCTTTAATTGTCCTTTAAGGGCAGTGCCATGTTAGATTCTCTCAGCAGAGGGCTGTGGAGGGACAATGTGGCAGGAAGGAGCTTGCCTTTTCCAGTGGGGGCAGGGGGCTGGTCAGCAGTGGGACACCTGTTGGAGCCTACATCAGCCACTGGCCCTTTGGAGCTCGGCAGCCTTGGCTAGCAATAACCTTTCTGCAGCTCACTGGACCTCCTGTAGCCCATGTGCTCGGAAGGCCACGTGCCCATGCTTGTACCTGGTCTCTCTCTGCAATCCTCCACACAGGCTTCTCAGGGCCTGAGGGGTCACACTCTCCTGTAAGTCCCTGGACAGACTACACTTCAGAGGCCTCCTGCCTCTCCTGGCACCTGGATGCCCACTGCATGCCCACACTTCTGCTTGCTGATCAGCCGGACTTGCACCTGCACAATGGGGTGTGGCTTATTACTTGGCCAATGAGGCAGACAACCCGAGCAGACCGAGGACTGCTTTGCTCTCTGGAGGTCCGGCCCACAACTTCTAAAATGAGGTCTGAACCCTTCCACGTTTGTCCTTTCTTGGGTACTCTCCCTCTGCCCTCAGGTATGAATGGACAGAGAGTCTCAGCAAAGAAAGAGCAAGTGTAAAGAACCAAATGGAAATTTTAGAAATAAAATAGACAATAGTTGACATAAAATACTCCCTGGATAGTCTCATAAACATAATGGAGATGAAAAAGACAAGCTCTTGAAACTGTGAGAGAAAATGATGCATCACCTCTGGAGAATTATGACTCCAATGACTGCAGATTTCTCATCAGAAATCATGAAGGCCAGAAAGCTCACTGTATTTCAAGTGCTCGAAGAAAGAACTGTCATCTCAGGATTCTGTATCCAGTAAAAATAACCTTCAGGAGTGAAGGTGAAAAAAAGATATCCTCAGAGAAAGGAAACAGAATTTGTTAGGAGACTTCCTCTAAAATAATTGTTAAGGGAAGGTTTTTAGACAGAAGGGGAACGATACTAAGGAAATCCTAGGATAACAGGAGTGAAGGTCAAGTAACAGATATACTACATAGCAGGGTAGATATGATGGGCCGGCTTCTTCTCATGAGTTCTTTAGAATGAGTTTGATGATTGGAAGCCAAAAATATAACTGATATGACTAATATAAAATAATATAATATGTGACTGATTAAAGTTAATAATAATATTAAATTATATATTTTATGTTAAATTATATAATGTTGAATTATAACACATGACACATATACATAATATCTAATACAGTAATTAAAAAATATATGACTGATGTAAAATAATACAAAACAAAAATATGATTGCCAGAGTACATAGGACAGCTGTCACATTAAGGTAGGAGCCTCTGTGATGGTAAGGTTTATACATCCCACCTGAAGTGGTTAGATACTGTTTCTAAGGAAACTATGAGAAGTTATGCATGTGTCTTATACTCCTTAGGGCAACATGAGAAAGGTTCAGATAACACAAAGGCAGGCAGGAAAGTGTAAAAGGGGGATAAAGATCAAACAGAAAATAATAATTTAGACCTAAAAGTAAACACATCAGTAATTATATTAAATGTAAATTGCCTAACAAATCAATCAAAAGACATCATCAGAATGTGTTAAATAAATGATCCAACAGCTTTTGTCTATAAAATCTCACATCAAATATAACCATATATTTATGTTAAAAGTAAAAGAATGGAATCAAGAAAGTAAAAAAATAGCTCACAAAATGGCAGAAAGTTTTTGCAAATCTGGCAAAAGGTCTGCATCTAGAATATATAAAGAACTATTACAAGTCAATGATAAGAAGACTAATAGCCCAGTTAAAAACCGGGCAAAGGATCTGAACATTTCTCCCAAGGTGGTCAATAAGTGATTCAAGAGATACTCAACGTTGTAGCTGTCAGGGAAATGCGAATCATAAACAAGATACCACTTCATTCCTACTAGACAGCTCTAATAAAGAAAGCATAAAACAAGGGTTGGAAGGATGTGGAAAAACTGGAACCTTCATATGCTACTGGTGGGAATGTAACACAATGGAGTTCTCTGGAAGCAGCTCGGCACTTCCTGAAGAGGTTAAACATAGTTGTCATGTGACTTTCCACTCCCACTCCTATGTAGTTACCCGAGAAAACTGAAAACATATACCCATGCAAAAACTTGCACCATTTATACTTTTAGGTGAAAAGAGATTTAAGGGACACAAAAGATAGTCCTAGAAGTCAGAAATTAATGAAAAGAAGGGAATAAATTGGGGTCAGCATTTTCAGTTCTTTAGACTAAAATTATGGGCCTCAGACGTTCAGCTGCAAGTGGCAGGCCGTTTGCGGAGAGTGCACACTTAGGTCAGAAGGTTAAATATCTGGTTTTGTATCCTCACTGACTGCTATTTAGAAGTGTCTGGAACTGGATGGAGCAGAGAGTATGCATCAACCCTACTGTTTGCCACCTGACACTCTGTGTTTGTGCAGATCAAGAAATGAATTTAACCAGATTTCCATGCTGTAGGTAGGAGATATTAACAACAATATCTAGAAAGTTATTTTATTTAGATAAGGGAGGTAAGTATAGGTTAGTGGAATGAACATTGAAATGTTTTATATCCTGCTACTTTTTTTGAAGTAAACAATCATTTGAAACAGTAAAAATGAGATGGGAAAATAAAAAGAGAGAAAGCTCACTGAGTGGCCTGAGAGTGAAGCAGTCTGATGCAAATCTTTTACTCTCATTCATTCATTCTCTCACTTATTCATTTAACCAATGTTTATGGAAGGCCTATGACCGGGCACAGTGCTGGGTCCCTCTGAGATGTGATGGCCAATGTGTACCTGCGTCTGATGTTCCTTGCACTTGGAGAACCACATAAACAGAGATAGCAGCTTGCAAAGTTCACATTTCTGGGAATCCTCACAGGACATGTCCCCAGGCTATATGGGAAGGTGCTCAGTGGGGCTTTGGGCAATATTTGGTTTTGTTACTTAATGGTGGCTAGCACAGAGCCTCATATGATCAGGGGTGTGTGTGTGTGTGTGTGTGTGTGTGTGTGTGTGTGTGTGTGTGTGTGTGTGTGTTCTGATGAACTCATCAAATTTGCCCTTGAGTGTGTTACAAACTATTGGGAAGGTAGATGCTAGTAAATTCAATAAAATGTGGAGCCATGAGGCTTAAGAACCTACAGTTCAGCTGGAGGGTAGGGAGATGACTGTGCCTTTTAGAGGAGATGACCCAGGTTGAGTGCTGAACTTTTACTTATATGTAGTGCTATCAGAAATTAAGAACATGAGCCAACTGCTATCCTGGAGGTAACAAGGCATCTCATCATTCCTTAAGATAATTGATTCATTCATGTTTCATTTTAAAGTTCATGTTAAAACTATTTTCTTCTATGAAACTGACATAGTTTTTTAAATAGGTAATTTCGTGCTCCGAAAATGGGACATAAAGTGGTCGTGTTCGATATTTCCGTCATCAGAGCCTTGTGGGAAACTCGTGTCAAGAAGCACAAAGCTTGGCAGAGGAAGGAGGCAGAAAGGCTTGAGAAAAGCGCATTGGAAAAGTACGTGTTTGAACCTGTAGCTCCTTTAGTGACCAGGCTGGGCAAGAGTTGCATGTGGAGGGGGTACCTTTCTTCTGGGAGTTCCCACTGTCAGGGCATGTGCCCGTTTGACTTCGGAACCACCACCCTGTTGCCCAGAGCAAACTGGACACTCGGTAGCCGAATGCCCTCCAGACCCATGTAAGCTGTGTGCTCGCTGCTAGGGTCACGCATCTCAGCCCTCAACCATTGAGTTGAATGAATGCTAGGTAAGATTCGTTGAGCTGATGCCATTTTCACTTGCATTGAAATAGTCTAATTTGGCTACCATCACATAAACTCATGTAATATGAGGAAAAGAGTTATCATGTACATGAAAACTAAGCTGAGTGCTTTGGGAAAACTACATTTATGATAAACATGAGCCACACAACTGAATCAACACTGTAAAAGACTGCTAAAAGTATGACAAGCTAGAAAGGTTGCACATTCAGGTGGCTTTGCGTGTCTGTAATTTTTATTCCCTGTAAAGAAACCAAAACTGGAACTCTTGTGTGATGCATTGTGGGTGTGGTTTATCTAAAAAAGGCAGAATGGGGTTCTGATTGGAAGACACATTTTTTTTTGGTATAATTAATCTACAATTACATGAGGAACATTATGTTTACTAGACTCCTCCCATCACCAAGTCCCCCCCAACAAACCAAATTGCAGTCACTGTCCATCAGTGTAGTAAGATGCTGTAGAGTCACTACTTGTCTTCTTTGTGTTGCACAACCCTCCCCGTGCCTCCCCCACATTATACATGCTATTGCTAATGTCCCCTTTCCTTTCCCCCCACCTTATCCCTCCCTTCCCACCCATCTTTCAAAGTCCCTTCCCTTTGGTAACTGTTAGTCCATTCTTGAGTTCTGTGTTTCTGCTGTTGTTTTGTTCCTTCAGTTTTTCTTTCTTCTTATACTCCACAGATGACTGAAATCATTTGGTACTTGTCTTTCTCCGCTTGGCTTATTTCACAGAGCATAATACCCTCTAGCCCCATCCATGTTGTTGCAAATGGTAGGATTTGTTTTCTTCTTATGGCTGAATAATATTCCATTGTGTATATGTACCACATCTTCTTTATCCATTCATCTACTGATGGACACAGGTTGCTTCCATTTCTTGGCGATTGTAAATAGTGCTGTGATAAACATATGGGTGCATCTGTCTTTCTCAAACTGGGCTGCTGCATTCTTAGGGTAAATTCCTAGAAGTGGAATTCCTGGGTGAAATGGTATTTCTATTTTGAGCTTTTTGAGGCACCTCCATACTGCTTTCCACAATGGTTGAACTAGTTTACATTCCCACCAGCGTGTAGGAGGGTTCCCCTTTCTCCACAACCTCACCAACATTTGTTGTTGTTTGTCTTTTGGATGGTGGTGATCCTTACTGGTGTGAGGTGATATCTCATTGTGGTTTTAATTTGCATTTCTCTGATAACTAGCGATGTGGAGCATCTTTTCATGTGTCTGTTGGCCATCTGAATTTCTTCTTTGGAGAACTGTCTTTTCAGCTCCTCTGCTCATTTTTTAATTGGATTTTTTGCTTTTTGTTTGTTGAGGTGCATGACCTCTTTATGTATTTTGAATGTCAACCCTTTATGGGATCTGTCATTTATGAATATATTCTCCCATACTGTAGGATATCTTTTTGTTCTCTTAGTGGTGTCCTTTGCTGTACAGAAGCTTTTCAGCTTGATATATCCCACTTGTTCATTTTTGCTTTTGTTTCCCTTGCCCGGGGAGATATGTTCATGAAGAAGTCACTCATGTTTATGTCCAAGAGGTTTTCGCCTATGTTTTCCTCCAAGAGTTTTATGGTTTCATGAGTTACATTCAGGTCTTTGATCCATTTTGAATTTACTTTTGTGTATGGGGTTAGACAATGATCCAGTTTCATTCTCTTACATGTAGCTGTCCAGTTTTGCCAACACCAACTGTTGAAGAGGCTGTCATTTCCTCATTGTATGTCCATGGCTCCTTTATCATATATTAATTGGCCATATATATTTGGGTTAATATCTGGACTCTCTATTCTTTTCCACTGGCCTGTGGCTCTGTTCTTGTGCCAGTACTAAATTGTCTTGATTACTGTGGATTTGTAGTACAGCTTGAAGTTGGGAAGCGAGGTGCCCCCCACTTTATTCTTCTTTCTCAGGATTGCTTTGGCTATTCAGGGTCTTTTGTGGTTCCATATGAATTTCAAAACCATTTGTTTCAGTTCGTTTAAGAATTTTGTTGGTATTTTGATAGGTAATGCATTGAATCTGTAGATTGCTTTAGGCAGCATGGCCATTTTGACAGTATTAATTCTTCCTAGCCAAGAGCATAGAATGAGTTTCCATTTGTTAGTGTACTCTTTAATTTCTCTTAAGAGTGTCTTATAGTTTTCAGGGTATAGGTCTTTCACTTCCTTGGTTAGGTTTATTCCTAGCTATTTTATTCTTTTTGATGCTATTGTGAATGGAATTGTTTTCCTGATTTCTCTTTCTATTGGTTCATTGTTAGTGTATAGGAAAGCCACAGATTTCTGTGTGTTAATTTTGTATCCTGCAACTTTGCTGTATTCCGATATCAGTTCTAGTAGTTTTGGAGTGGAGTCTTTAGGGTTTTTTATGTACAATATCATGTCATCTGCAAATAGTGACAGTTTAACTTCTTCTTTACCAATCTGGATTCCTTGTATTTCTTTGTTTTGTCTGATTGCCGTGGCTAGGACCTCCAGTACTATGTTAAATAACAGTGGGGAGAGTGGGCATCCCTGTCTTGTTCCCGATCTCAGAGGAAAAGCTTTCAGCTTCTCGCTGTTCAGTATGATGTTGGCTGTGGGTTTATCACATATGGCCTTTATTATGTTGAGGTACTTGCCCTCTATACCCATTTTGTTGAGAGTTTTTATCATGAGTGGATGTTAAATTTTATCGAATGCTTTTTCAGCATCTATGGAGATGATCATGTGGTTTTTGTCTTTCTTTTTGTTGATGTGTTGGATGATGTTGATGGATTTTCGAATGTTGTACCATCCTTGTATCCCAGAGAGGAATCCCGCTTGGTCATGGTGTATGATCCTCTTGATGTATTTCTGAATTTGGTTTGCTAATATTTTGTCGAGTATTTTTGCATCTATGTTCATCAGGGATATTGGTCTGTAATTTTCTTTTTTTGGTGGGGTCTTTGCCTGGTTTTGGTATTAGAGTGATGCTGGCTTCATAGAATGAGTTTGGAAGTATTCCCTCCTTTTCTATTTTTTGGAAAACTTTAAGGAGAATGGGTATTATGTCTTCTCTGTATGTCTGATAAAATTTAGCAGTGAATCCATCTGGCCCAGGGATTTTGTTCTTGGGTAGTTTTTGATTACTGATTCAATTTCTTTGCTGGTAATTGGTCTGTTTAGATTTTCTGTTTCTTCCTTGGTCAGTTTTTGAAGGTTGTATTTTTCTAGGAAGTTGTCCATTTCTTCTTGGTTTTGTAGCTTGTTAGCAGATATATTTTCATAGTATTCTCTAATAATTTTTTGTATTTCTGTGGGGTCTGTCGTGATTTTTTCTTTCTCATTTCTGATTCTTTTGATGTGTGTAAATTCTCTTTCTCTCTAAATAAGTCTGGCTAGGGGCTTATCTATTTTGTTTATTTTTTCAAAGGACCAGCTCTTGGTTTCATTGATTATATTCTATTATTTTATTGTCCTCAATTTTATTTATTTCTTCTCTGATCTTTATTATCTCCCTCCTTCTCCTGACTTTGGGCCTCATTTGTTCTTCTTTTACCATTTCAATAATTGTGACTTTAGACTATTCATTTGGGAATGTTCTTCCTTCTTTAGATAGCTTGGATTGCTGTATACTTTCCTCTTAGAACTGCCTTGGCTGCATCCCACCGAAGTTGGGGCTTTATGCTGTCGGTGTCATTTGTCTCCATATATTGCTTGATCTCTGTTTTAATTTGGTCATTGATCCATTGATTATTTAGGAACATGTTGTTAAGCCTCTGTGTGTTTGTGAGCCTTTTTGTTTTCTTTGTACAATTTATTTCTAGTCTTATGCCTTTGTGGTCTGAGAAGTTGGTTGGTGGAATTTCAATCTTTTTGAATTTAATGAGGCTCTTTTTGTGGCCTAGTATGTGATCTATTCTGGACAATGTTCCATATGCACTTGAGAAGAATATGTATCCTGCTGCTATTGGGTGTAGAGTTCTGTAGATGTCTGTTAAGTCCATCTGTTCTAGTGTGGTGTTCAGTGCCTCTGTATCCTTATTTATTTTCTGTCTGGTGAATCTATCCTTTGGAGTGAGTAGTGTGTTGAAGTCTCCTAGAACGAATGCCTTGCATTCTATTTCCTCCTTTAATTCTGTTAGTATTTGTTTCACATTTGTTGGTGCTCCTGTATTGGGTGGATATATATTTAGAATGGTTATATTCTCTTGTTGGGCTGACCCTTTTATCATTATGTAATATCCTTCTTTGTCTCTTGTTATTTTCTTTGTTTTGATGTCTATTTTGTCTGATACAAGTACTGCTATACCTGCTTTTTTCTCCCTATTGTTTGCATGAAATATCTTTTTCCATCCCTTGACTTTTAGTCTGTGTATGTCTTTGGGTTTGAGGTGAGTGTCTTGTAAGCAGCATATAGATGGGTCTTGCTTTTTTATCCATTCTCTTTCTCTGTGTCTTTTGATTGGTGCATTCAGTCCATTTGCATTTAGGGTGATTATTGAAAGATACGTACTTATTGCCATTGCAGGCTTTAGATTTGTGGTTGCCAAAGGTTCAAGGTTAGCTTCTTTACTATCTAACTATCTAACTTAACTCGCTTATTAAGCTATTATAAATACAGTCTGATGATTCTTTATTTCTCTCCCTTCTTATTCCTCCTCCTCCATTCTTTATATGTTAGGTGTTTTATTCTGTGTTCTTTTGTGTTTCCTTTGACTGCTTTTGTGTGTAGTTGATTTTATTTTTTTGCCTTTAGTTAGTATTTGGTT